TTATCTTGGGGGGGAAGGGGTAGCGTTTAAGTCTGTGAACGGGCGAGAGAAAAAACGGTTGCCCCCCCCCCCCCACACCCCCCTGTAGCCCAGTTAAATTGTAGCCCCCACTGTTGTACCAGCTGTCCCCCGCCACTGTTGTGCAGACAGCTGTACAGCCGTGTACATGCGATCACAGCGAGCGAGACAAACAGCCCCCACGAATGCCCGCGGCGCCGGACCACACACCGCCCCCCCCCACTGTGTTGCTCTTGCCGAGAGAGAAGGACGTAAGGATCTAATCAAAGAAACCACGGGTAAGGAGGGTCTAGACTAGATGTGTACGGAATGTTGAAAGAAGGGTTGAAGGAGTACCTACTGCATGGAAATGGTGAAGGACAAAGCTGAAGGTCAAATTCACGACTGGGGACATTGGCCTTCGAGAAAGTAGACGAAGATTAAGGAAGGTAGACGATGAAGACGACAAGTAAGTTGAAATATATATGATTGCGGCTCCGAGTGCGAAGACCGGGTTCATGTAGTTGTGGAATGGCCGTTGTACAAGAAAGAGAGGGAAGGACTTAAGTGTACATGGCTGAGCTGAAAAAGAAGGAGGCAAAAAGGGAAAAATAGAAGGGGGTTCTATTACAGGGAGATGTTTGAGGCATGGAATGGCGGGGAGAAGGCGGTAGCTGTACTGGGGCATAGGAAGTGGGTTGACAATGCGGGAAGTCGTATCGATAGGATATGTAGACTATAGATGTAGGCAACAAAAATTCGAGACACTTTTGGCGAAGAAAGTAGGAAGGAACGATTGACCATCGGTGATCGGTCCTCCTGTGGGAACAATGCTCCATCCTCTCGAGGACGCGTGGTCAATGGTCTAACCGCTAAGTAAGGCATGCAAAACATACGAGCACGCCCCCCCCCCCCCCCTGCTGTTTACCAAACACTCATGCCCGAATACAGTGCTGTACACCTTGGAGACCACGGAATTACATGCATTATTTTCTACCGCTGCCGTTTGCTACTGCTGCTGTGTTCTCTTGTGCTTCGTACACAACCACAAGGAGGACTCACGCTGGCCTATAACGCACGAACGTATATTGTGGACAACTAAAAAATATATTTTTCATCGCTTCGATCAGGTTAGACCCTTTGAAAAGCCATATGCTCGGTTGAAGATAGGTTTTCTCTTAAACCGAAATCCCTGTTTAAGAGAAAACCTCTCTTGAATCGGATTAAGAGAAGGTCGTGTTTAAGAGAGGATATCTTGGTCCTGCACACCCCTCTCTTAAACTGTAGCCCCCACTGTATCCTAATCCCCTACTACTGTAGTTCCGTATCCAACAGCAGCATTGGCCAGTTACATAGTATCCCTTTACTGGGTAAGTCTCGAAGAAAGGCTTCAAAGAGAGATGCAGAGCGGCACGGAAACAGGTTGCATTGACATAGAACCGGGTGCGATGGCGAAAGCAGCAACGCAAGCACACGAACGGCCCCGCCTCTCTTGATTATCCGCTCGACCTCTCGTGCATCCTCGTTCTGCCCATCAGGACAGCATCGGTGGCGTCCCCTCCACAACAGCACCAGCGACAGCGCTACAACTTGTAGATAGCACCATCGCCACCCTCGAGGCGTCTCTCGGTTTGCCTCCAGGAGCCGTTCTTACTCCCGTCGATGCCAAGGGCATTGCGGGAGGAGATACGAAGCGTCCCACGAAGGGAAAAGAAGGCGTTAATAAAGGGGGGAGAAAGAAGGCCGGCAAAGGTACAATACAACGCCCAATGCCCCCTTGGGGAGGAAACCTCAGGAGATTTCCTCGAGTTTCGTCCCTCTAGTAATTCATGACGGTTTATTTCCCGCTTTCGCTTGTTACCTGCACAACATTACGCATGCCAACAGGTCGATGCCGATCGTAAGCCAGCGGTCTGGACAGAGTCTTCCCGTTCGAGCTGTACAATGCTTAGGGCGATCAGCCGAAACATTGTGTTACAACAACGGGGTAACCACGGGTGCATTCATAGCTGCTGTGGACCCCGACTTTAGGTTTTGACTTTTGTATTTCGCTTGTTGATGTGTTGACTGGAACAAAACGAAACGACCAATAACTGCAGCAGCTGCTTCAAACGTCGGAGTTTCTTCCGCGGATCAGCCCGATGGAACGAAGGTCGACCTGAGGGTGGGGCAAATCACTCGAGTCTGGACGCACGAGACGGCCGATAAGTGAGTCGCGGTTCGCCGTATTCCGTATGGGACACAGCAGCACACCACCCAATACCCGTTTCGTCGGTGCGCTCTCCTCGAATTCTCCACCGAACCAAACCATGGTTGCTTTCGATAGCGACTGGCTATCTAAGTTGTTGATATCTCCTTGCTGCACAGAACTTGGGCGACAACAAGCGACTTTGCGTAGGCACGGGGTGTGCACATATCTAGTCTCATACCTTTTTCGTTCCTTCGACGGTGACAGCATCCTAGCCGTAGGAGTTGAGACGACATGGTAATTCCCTGCAAGAGCAAAGGCATGGTTTTGTAAACGTTGCTCTGGGTCCTGGGGATAACGTCAAACCAGGCTATACTGCGAGGAGATTGACGTTGGAGAAGGAGCTCCTCGAAACATTGCTAGCGGGCTCGTGCCGCACTACTCCCTCGAGGAGATGAAGGGAAGAAAGGTCATCGTCATGTGTAACCTGAAGGTGAGGGTATGCGTCTTGACGAACACATCTCGACAATTTACTGTTAGAAACCCGACGAATCGTTCACAGAAACTGCGGGCGGCCAAGGGAGGGACTGCTGCGCGTTGTAGCTTCCCTGGATCAACAGCTGCACGTTTTGGACGACGACAACATGTGTTGCATAGTAGATTTTAAGACCGCAAGACACGGCGTACTGCAGCAGCCGTGCAACATATTGGATGAAGAGCGGACAGATCCCATGGTGTGATTAACTGAATAGAGGGTTTCGAGAGTCGCTTTGAAGTAGAGGACCAGAAGTAGTCGGGAGTCAAACTCGGGCGGTGAGGGCGTAAGGCCAGCGTATGTGCCGATACCCATCTATGCATATGTTAGGGCTTATTTTTGCACGATGGTTCTTACGCGAAGTTGTACACAGCCCGTTGTTTCTGCCTGCCCTACCCTTTTCTCTTCGACTCAATGCATCAGTATTGCAGCGCGCTGTTTTTGGTGCACGCGAGGTGTCCTTCCAGGTGCCCTTTCGCCTTCCGCGCTGTTGGATTTCGCCTGTCGAGCCCACGCATAAACTCCCAGCGTCTCGTGTCACAGCTTCGCTGCTGTTTTGATATCTCGCTGGGGACCCCTCACACTTACACGCAACGCGTGATATTCCCTTCAGACTTCTCCTTTCAGCTCTGAAACTGCGACCGATTAATGTTGTCCCGCGCCTCTTGTGTGTGTATGGCTTTCTGCGACCGTTCCCCCACTGCCTGCGACGGCCTTGATGTGGGGTCCACTTTTTGGCCTGTTTTCTACAGAGGCATTTGTTGGTACCGCCATGGGCTTCAAATTCAACCTCCCGTTTTTGCACCGTTGCGCGTGTCTCTCGTGACACCGCCCTTTGCCGGCATAATGATGTCTTCCGCGGTGTCGCTCGTCGTGAAGCCGCGCAATCTGAAGGGGTTCAAGAGCCAGGGCATGGTGGTGTGCGCCGTCGGCGCTCTTGGCGACGGCAAGGTGCGGTCGATGGTTGTCGGGAACTCTCGGGCGGCACCGCTTGTCCCTGCGAATCATGGTGTTGCAGCATTGTTGCTATTCGTTGCTGTGTACTGTTTGGGCTTTTTGTTTTGTGGTGCCTTGGTCAAACATTGAAAATCAAGCGTTAGCCGCACATGTTTCACGTAGGTGCATGTGACGTTGACCCAATTGAGATGAAAGTTAGAAAATGTTTTGATATCGTGACCACTGTCTTACTACGTTAGCGGTCGGCGTTAATTCCCGCGGTCATCTACACGAGCCGTTCGGATTAGTGAGTTGACGGCAATATGGTGGGTTTTCCACGGGATGCTCTCCACACATATTTGTATGTTGTCCAGGGTACTGCGTAGGTCGACCACCCTTCCGTTGTCGCTCAAATGCGATTTGTCTTCGGAGATCACTTGTGGTCGTAGCCTAGGGGTTGGATTCTGCGCTCGTCCCGTTCGCGTGTACTGACAGGCTGCGAGATATGATTGATCCGATCACAACGGAAACGTCAATATCCAGTATCCAGAAAAACCGCTGTCTACACGGATGACAACACCACGGGAGGGAAATGGGAAAGTTTTTGCCTTGCGACACGGGGTATCATCAACAATGACGACGACGACGGTATCCTAACCAACAGGAACATGTGGAGCTTGTCGTTCCTCCAGAGGGATCTGCCGTGGGAGAGAGGCTCTCTTTCGAAGGACTTGCGGGCGGGCCCTTCGAGCCCGTTTCCGCGGCACAGATGGAGAAGAAGAAAGTTTTGGACAAGATTCTTCCGGTAAGAGACAGCTTTCGCTGCATTCCGGCGAAAGACGATACTTCTTGTTTTATGTTGTAGTTGTTTGCAAGGCGAAATCATCAGCGTGTCTACAACGTATTGCACGAGTCCTTACGGAGGGCTAGTTGCAGAGGCCAAATGTTCATGCCCTGTCGCAACTCTTCCAACGGTCACTCCTTCCCATGGGGGGTTACCGCTCTGATCCTGCTAGTGTGTAAATTGTTCTTGCGAACTTGGTCCACGTGTGTTGGCCCGGGACCGCGAACGGCGGAGGACGCCCCACTTCTTTTTGAGGCTCACTCCCCTTCCCATCGTCGGCTCCCGTGGCCCCCTTGTGAGCTCAAGGCTACACTTGCCCGGGGATCACCACACCTTGTGGAACGCGACGCGACGAGCAGCCTCTTGCTTCGGTTATGGAGTGCGCTCGCTCGAAAACGTCGTCATCGTGAAGAGCATAGCGACACCCCCCCCCCCCCGGCTCCTCTCTCCCCGCGCGCGCCCTACCACCTGCGATAGGAACTCACCACGGACGTGGAAGGCACGGTGAGGTGGCGAGACCACGCATTGGTGTCCTCTTGCGGTGCATGCACGGCCCCTACCGTCCGTGACGGCGCCGTCCGCTGAATAAACGCTTTTTGGCGACTTGACAGCAGTGTTTCTCTGCCCGTGTAGGCTCCGTGAGAAGGGTAGTACCCGTGTGGGCACCTTGTGGCTCTCGCGTTTTTTGACCCAACCGCGCCTAGACCACGATTACCAGCATACACGCTGATGATTCCGGCGTGAGGTGTGGGTTGCGCTGCTGACGCATGTAGTTGGGCGGCGACTTCAATGAGGCGCCTGGAAGCTCCCCGAGAGGTCAGTTCCGGTAGCACGGGTAGTGCGCGTATCCGAAGAGCTGCAGCTCGCGAAATCAGTCCTGTGAATCGTTCGGGGCCCCGAGCTTCCCTTAGAGCGGCGATGGGCTCGGCAATAGGCCGGTGTTTGTCCGCGAACTCAGTTGTCGCCAAGGCACTTGGGGGGATTTCGAACGCGCATGGTCCGTCCCAGGTTGGAGATGTCGGTGAAAGGACTATGGAGGAGCAGGTAGCTTGTTTTTCGATATTTCGTTCCGCGCTCCATGTTCCGCCCTAGGTGCGCGTGGAACACATCATCGAGTTACACCCCAGAAGACCATCAATAACGATGAGCTAAATAGCATCCGCGGCCTCAGGCACACCCGATGTGGAACGGCAGAGACGCAGGGTTTCTTGCTTGCAATGCAATTTCTACCGTCTATATTCGCCCCTATAGGTACCGTATCGGACTGTCCTCTTGTCACGGCATGTGAAACCAGACTACAAGCTGGAGAAGCTCTATCATTCCCCCTTTCGTACCCACAGCGTCATCCGCCGCCGTTGCTGACAAGGGCAAGAGGGTTACCAAACCCTTCCCACGTTGTATTCTGTAGTGAAGAATGACGTAGGACATCACCCACCGCAGCCGCCTGTGCATGCTTTTGACCGCTCTCGACTGATCTACAAGTGGGGAACGAGAGAGAGCCTGTGCTTCGCGCACTATCCTGGAAATTTCGCGCAATAGCGCCATGAACAGCGCCAAGATAGGGCCTTGGGTGCTCTTGCCCGGCCTCGGACCAGACATAGGTGGAGCTTGATATTGGTCGTTATGCCAAGATACCCTATTCCAACAGGAAAAACTGGTGCATCGTCTATACATTAGATTTATCGCAGCGAAGAACCTGGGAAGTGGCATGGTATCGATCTGGTATGATGTTTGGGAAAATGTAAAAATGTTCTGAGCGCAAGACTTCGTTATCCCGTCTTCGACCATATGGTTGATGTCCCAAGACGGCAAGTACCACCATGCTTCTCTCCGCATCATTACAGCCCGGCTACATGAACAGCAGATGCACGCAAACCCCTGAATCTGAGGGGCTGTTTGTATCTACAATCGCGCAGGCAAGCACTTGATTTGTGGTGTAGTGCAGAGGCAACAGGAAAGCCCCAAGAACTGCAGCAGCTTCAGCAAGCGTATGCAGAACACAACCAAAAGAAAAAAACAACACAGCAATTACGCCCGGCAAGATGGCGCGCATGGTGGAAACTCTCCAACCCAGAGCGCTGCTTTCTTCGCTGATGACCCCCTCCTTCACCCGAGAAGAAGAGAGCAACCCCCAACCCCCCCTATGCCGTGCAGTCGTGTGCATGCCTTGCCTGAAACAACTCCGCCCAGGAGGCAACCACGGGGCTTGCGCCTGTTGCAAGGCCAACCCGGTCGTCGAAATCACGATGTTCGCTGCCCAAGCTTTGCAAAGATCGTGAGAGAGAAGGAAGATTGAAAGCAACATGCAATCGCCACACATGCACGCTGAGCACTACATATCACCACCCCTTCCGCTTGTGTTCGCTGGCACATCTGGTGATGAAAGCTAACGTGTCATGCCTCTTTGGGACGTTCAACCACACACACCACCAAAGGTGAATGCACGCTTAAAGACGATATTCATCAGGTAGAAAAATCAAGTTCGTTGCTTGTGATCCGTGAGCGTACCATGATTTGAGGCGGACTTCGTTGCCGAGTCCAACATGTTAGCCTCGTGCTCATCGAGAACTATGTGGACTTGGGCTGAGAGATTCCCAGATAACTCCCCAGTTGGCCTCTCGCTCATGAAGTGACACACAACTTGTCCCACAACCCATATAACTACTTACTCGCGAGAACACGGTCTACAATACATTATTCTCTACAAATCTTAGTGCTTCTTGGGAACCTACTAAAAGCCGCTCACGTTGACCATCTATACAAAACAAGTTGGAGTTGGTGCTGTCCTAGTTGTTCGGGAGATCAAGAGATTGTGCAAGCTGCCGATTGCGCATTTGGGTCCCCAAGCTCCTTCAACAAGCTGCAGGTGGCCTGAAACAAACACAAAACAGGTGAAACGCACATTAATTCAACAGCGGTACGGGTACAGAGAATTCGGAATATGTCTAAGACCGGGGGAGGGAGTCGCATGTGTTGTTCCTAGTACTTTTTGTCACCTTGACCATGTATACCTGTCGAAATCAAACACCGTCGTCATTCCTACGGCACGCCCCACTAATAACGCTTGTTCACCGTAGGGTTTCGCCGACCAGCGAGCTAAATACATTTTGTTTTATACGTACGTCATTATGCTCGAGTAGTGTTCCACCAACATTGAGCCTGCATCGAGCGAAATTGTACGGCTGACATGTCTGCGAGCCTGCCCGGTTGTGGTTACTCCTAACAACTTGTTCCTGAGCGTTCGAATCTCTGCTTGTTTTCGGGATAGAGGTCATCAAGAAAGCCACAAGAGAGGTCCACGATCTAGCCGTGTAAAAGGCTCACGACCGACCAAGCGCGATTACCGTTGGGCTTGGTCCATCCTGTATGACCGACAACGGGAAGCCTACGGTTGTTCTGGTGCTTCCACTTGCGCTTACGTATGCCTCTCCACAGGTATAATGTATGTGCTCTTCCAGTAATTTTGTGTTAGGGGCTAGCTATTCCTGGTGGGGGAGTTTAAGGGGACAACGTTTCTGACGATGTCACAGACTATTCTGAACAGAATGCTACTGCCTGGAACTTTCTTCCCCTCTTTCCGACAGTACTTGACTGCTATCTTCCCTCACGGACCGCCTCAGCAAAATACAACCCATGGCGGGCAACAACATGAACATGATTACCTTGTGTTGGCCTGCTGCGGCCATATCAAACGGCGTTTTCCCTCCGGCATCCTGCTTGTTGCACATCTCCTCGAGCACTCCAAGTGCTGTTGCCTTCTCCATCAAAGATCTAACCACGTCCACCCTGCCTCCTTCGCACGCGGCCAAGAAAGGCGTGGCCCCGCTACTTGTTGTTTTGAACAGATCCGTGTCCTTCCGGGGTGGGGAGGCAGACGAGAGCAAGGAAAGGGTATGCTGTGAGAGGAGAGTCATGGACGTACCATGGTTGCTGCTGCTGCTGCTGTTGTTGTTGTTGTGTTTCCTCTGGTAGTCGCGGTAGCACAGTTCGTGTGGCGGGACCACGCGTCGCAACACTGCAAGGTTTCGGGGCTGGGTTCGAGTGGTACCGAGTGAAACAATCCCAACATCGGTCAGACACCCACGTCAAAACACCTCAGGTGGGTGTGACCATTTTCTCACCCGCACTTGCACCGCAATTCTACCCGTCCTGTCTTCGTGCCCCTTAGCCTTTCGAACGAGCGATGGTTATAAAATACCTCTTTCCGGATACAACAATGATGAGTCTAGTGCTGTATTGCTCTTGAGCGGCAAAAAACCCTAAGATCCTCCGCAAAAACATGTAACTCACCTTCGCGAGCAGGATATCTGTGGCCTCCTTGTGTCCACTGATGACCGCCCAGTGTAGTGCAGTCCGTCCGCTCTTGTCTGTCTGATCCACCGGAGCCCCCTTTTCCATCAAATAGTTCATGATCTCTACATGGTTCCCTCCGGCCGCTCTGGGAACGCCATTGAACAGTAGACGCCGTTAAAACAACGTTTCGCACGGTTGGGAGAAGGTGTTGTGTTACGATCCGTTGCTGGTGCGGTTCGCTGCAGACCAGACACCGCTCGTGGTTGTGCACCAACACCAATTGATGACTTGAACATGGCACCGCTTCCAGACCGGAAAATGCTTTTCTGCCTTCGTCACTTGCTACTGAAGGTGGTCAGATGCCGACGAGCCAAGAAACTATATATTTCGCTGCACAGGGATTGCTGTGGATTGATGTCTGGCAGGAAGCAAGGCCCGGAATTCTTTAAACGATGAATGGTAGGCAAGACATGCGCGAATCCCAAAAGTATGAATTTCGTAGACTGATTCCCGTGAGCACCAACAATTCGCTGGAAACGAGCTGCATGCATGATAGGTCACCTGCTTGCTTGCTTAAACAATAATTGGCACTACGGCCGTAGTTTGTCCGGTCTACAGCACCGGTTGATAGTCTACAGGCAGGTTGACCGAGCATAAGTTTGCGTCACCAAACATTTTCGACGCAAGGCAGGGTCCAATGAGGATGCTACCTCATGCGGGCGCAATGGTTTCGGCCGTGCTACAAGACCAAGAGCTACTGTTCTGTTGGGATGAGACACACGGGACACACGGAACATCCGATGCGTGGTGTCGCGTACATACGTAGAGTAGCCCATCATGCCGGCCAATCACACCCGACAGCGGTGTTTCGATCAGTGTTGCTACCATGTAGATGTCAAACGGTGCAGCTAGTTGTTGGTAATACAGTACAAGTAGATGTTAATGGGATAGGAAAGCCTATTTTAATACTTGTGGTTACGCTCGGAGTGGAAGCTCGGAGTGGCTGGTCTCTACAGAGTAGTATATAGTTCTGCTCCCACCTGTGCAACGCTCTTCGCTCCGCTGCGCCGGGCTCGTTGACCGCTATCTCGCCATCCTCTACCAACTGCTTTACCTTGCCGAGATCACCGTTGTGCGCGGCCTTGTGCAGTTCCGTGTCGGTTGGCATGGCCGCTCCTTAGAGAAACCAACAGAAGCGGCCGCTACTCACCCCCCGCTGTATTCTCCTCCTCCTTGACAAGTTCTCCTCTCCCTGCGTCTCGAACCCCCCCCCACCGACCGACGATCCTCCCGGCGAAACAGTAGCAGTAGGTGCAGGGATGCAGCAATATGGCGGATAGCACCCCCGTATTGTGGTACCAGATGAATGAAATGACCAGCCCAGGGCACGGGGCGCACTCTCAAGTAGAGACGAGACAGCGTACAGCCCAGTCCTTCGGAAGGTGTGACGGGCAGCTTCTCTGAGTGCTGCTGCTCTCTCGCCACGCCTATCCTCTACTCAGCCCATCAATTGCAGCCCATGTAGGGCGTGTGGGTCTGATAGTCAGTGTTTAAATATTGGCGATTTCCCTGTGTCGCTCAGATAGAGTTGGCGTAAACAGACAGCTGCTGCGTTGTCTCTCTCGTTCCTACCTAGCACCATAGAGCACCCCCCGAAAGCTAAACGTCGATGTCGAAGAAGGGCGGTTACATGGTTCCGGAATTTGAACCGCGAGCGGTTCGGGAAAGTTTGGGGAAAGTTCATCACGCCGCATGGGCTGCACTTCCTTCCATTGCCAACAGCTCTCGCTCTTTCACCAGCAGATCAGGGCGCTAGGAATTGCGGACGCTTCCTGAACCGACACGGGCTTATTACACCGAACATCGATTGCTGTGAACGCCGGCCTGTTTTGTCCTTGGCGACGCCGACAATGTCGCTTTCAGCTGCCGCCACGGTTGCATGGGGAGCAAACACCTTGTTTGTGTCTCCCGCAGTGAAGCCTGCGTTCCTACCCCAACGCCATGGTCCCGCCACCTTCAATCGGCCCCCTACCGCCGGACAGCTCTCGTCAAGGCCATGGGTGGCGATTGCCCCTTTCGGAGGCGCCAGCACCAGGATGCACGGGAGTGGGAGCGTTAAGATGGCAGCGGAAAAGCCGAAAGGATCAGGAATGCTCCAGGGTCCGAACCTTGAACTGATGAGGTATGCCGGTACATACAATGTTGTGGATACGTGATGCTGGCGCTAGATTGAGAGAGACACTTGCAGATAGAGTGTCGCGAATGAGACCCAGCCAAGCAGTCGGGGGCAGGTACGGGAGTAGTACCTACTGTCTATGGCGTTCGTGGTTGGCCCCAAAACCTTTGTTTGTGTTGACGCCTGAACTACAGCAGTAGAAAGTGTTCTCTAGTTCTACAGTACATTTACAACTATTGTATCCATGTGCAACGCGTGGGTTCTTGAGGATATCCAGAACTTGTTGTCTCGCCCGACCGCAACCGGCGTGCGAAGTGTTGAGGCCCCAAGGTAGCACGGTTGACTATGTACCTGAAACTCTTCGGAGCATTGGGTCAGTAAAGTGGCGGCGAGACCGTTTTCAGGAAAATATCGGCAAAGTTACTCCGCTTGAAGTCACGAAGTACTGAAGCAACTGCGGTGGAGGGGCGCTTAGCACTTGACGAAAAAGTGAATTTTAGGCGCGTACCCTAGCCTCAACCACCACCGATAGATGCGAGGCCAGCGTGCCGTGGGTGGTGCTAGGTTGCCGTGCACAGGTGCTTGTAGGGTAAGGTACTGCTGTAGGTGCGTGTCACACGCGTATTCCGAGATGGGTTCGACCGGTTGCGATGGATTTCGAATGTTTCGCCCCAAAAGTGGTAAGAGCTCTGCTGCGCCCAGGAGCCGTGTTTTCTCGCACGTTGGAAGCGTCATACCGTGAGGCATGCTTTACGTCGAAATGGTGGTGAAGCTCTTATCAGTCTCAGCGAGAGTCTGCCCACACTGCTGCCTATTAGGCCACGGAGAAAAAAGAACTCAATTGTGCAGACACGACACGCGGCGATGCTCCTGGCGGCTTGGCTCGTGAGCCACCCCTCCTGTAGACTCCCAAAGTTTTGGAGCGTGTGTGTTTTTGACTACAGTGGTATTGGTCACAGGGAGGACCCAAGGCTGATTCCTATCGGACCCGCGTTTCAATGACAAAATTGGGTGGAGGGTGGCCAGAGCCTTGCGCTCGACTTGGATTTTCTGGCCGAAAGTTCGTGTTATCGTGAATGGGTTACTTCGGAGAGAGAGCCCGGAGCAACGCTACTCTCTACTCGAGAAAATGCTCTGGCGACTCCCGATATCCGCGCTTCCCATAACCGACACACTTCCACCCAGCTTCGATTGGCACCGCAGGACCCAAACGGTCAGCGGACAGCTCGAGGGGACCCTCTCTCTAGGCCGATCAAGGGCCTCGAAACCATGCATTGGTGACGGTTCCGAGATCAGCGCCCGACAGCAGGAGTGGATCGAAAACATTCCTGCAGAATCACAGAGTAAAATGGACGCCTGGCCTCTTTGATTGTTTCGCGCGATTGAGAATTGTTCTGTGTGAGCCAGGATCGAAGTTCTTCCGTTCGAAAGACAAGGCCGCTGAGTAGGTCGAAACTATGAGCATCGATTCCCATATGAGATGACGATGAAACGAAGCATTCCCGCGGCAGGGAAAAAGACAGGCAACGTAAGGCCTGATCGCGTCCGACTTCTTGTTGTAGGCCGTTGGCATATGGATGCCACCATATAGAGCTACCGAGGAGAGTTTTGACCACATCAACCGTTTTTTTGCACTCTTGGCCTCTTGTTTTGTGCTATCAGGATCTTGGTCCAAGGCGAGGTAGCGGTGGGGACTGCCGCGGCTGGCCTAGCTTTCCTGACGAAGGTTGGTATTGGGGCGTTTTGTTGGTTTTCGTTTTGGGCGAGCGGCTCCAGTCTTTATTTTCTTTTTCGTGTGTAGTGCGACAGAACGGTTGTAACGCATCGGCGAACCGCGGCCACGTTTCGTTGTTCGGGGTTCCGTATTGCGTGAAGACATGAAACTCCCACGCTTGAACAACACAATCGAACTGTTATTTGATGGTTTTGATTTGTGCATCGTTTCGTTGTTTCAAGAGAGGAGGAGCCATCCTATTGACGACAAGGATAAATGATGTGATCGGAACTGCTTGCACGATATCGGGTTGTACCTTTATCTATTTTTTTTTCTCTCCCCTCTTGACTCCCCGCACAGCACACTCACATCGATTCGACCTTTCCCAGCTGTCGTTGCATCCGCCCGGCTGCCCATCTGCACCCCCTGAAGTTCATATGTCCTCGGATCGCCCGCATTTGGGTGCCACACACGGCATTGCTTTATTTTTGGCCCACCACCGGCGATCGCGAAACACCTGATCGTGTCTAGTGCCCCCCCACGCCAACAAAACATCTTCTACGCACCGGCTTTAGGTCAATCCTTTCGCAGGCACATTGTTTTCTTGGGCGGCACTTAAGGCGGGCTGCCTAGGGGCCCTCCCTATTTTTCTGGTCAGCGTTCTGCTGGAGAAGAGCGGGGTCGACTTCTTTCGCAAGATCGATCAAGACACCAAGCTCTACGTCGTGCAAGTCTTCGGAGCCAAGCGCAACTGGCCGGTGCGTTGTTAGTTGGTGGCTCGGTATTTTACATAGCCGCTGTTGGCTGTATTTTTCTTTGTGCCGTCGTGGTTGGTGGTGGTGATTGTCGCCGTTGTGTATTATTGATGGTCGTTATCGATGCTCTTGCTGTTGTTCGTGCTGTCGTATTTTGTATTTTTTGCCCGCTCGCCGCTCGCGACCGAATCCAGTATCGATGCGACCCCAACCCTCCCTCGCCCTCCCTCTCTCGGTTCCACCCACGTGCCCTCCGCTTCCATGACGCCACGTCTTTCTGTCGGTCACCTCGAAAATCAGGTGGTGTCGCTTTGGTCTTTTGTGCTCGCGGCCAATGCAGGTGAGAGTTTCACGGCTAACACGTGACTTCACCTTCGGTCTATTCCTTTCTGCATCAAGAAAGGCGTCCAGGACCCTCCCCCCCCATGCGGCGCAATCTCGCGAATACTCTATATCGAAGATACCCCGAAGTTTGGGTGGTCTCCTGCCACAACTCAGGACGAACGTGCCCCCGTCCGAAGGAAAAACATAGGTACACGGGTGACACGGAAGTAGGCAACGGTCGGGCACAGCTGCGGCCATGCAGACCGAGAGCCTTGGAAGACTACCTGCTGTCCTGTGTGTGGTACGAGGCGTCGAGCCCAGCGAAAAACATTTTCGTTGTGCAACAGTCACGAGCCCTCAATAGCCTGGGCGTGTGCCATGCCGATTCACCCGCTCTATAGCGGGCACCCGCTCTGTTTAAGAAGCATTGCTATACCAAAACATGCTTTCGGTGGTGCCAAGAGGTTTCACCCTCATATGCCGGTCCCCCGCGGTAGGTTTGATTTTGACGTGGCCGAGCTCCTCTCAATCCGACCTTTCCCTGCCCCTAGTCTACCCGCGGTGATCTTTGTCAACATGGGAATGTACCAGAGTTTCCACCCGACGAGCGACAATGTCTTTTTTTGTGTCTCCCTCTCCTGCGCTGTGCCCAGGTTTTTTCGAGGAGGTGTTGTTCCGGGGCGTGATCCAGCAAGGGCTCTCGACGCTCATTGGTGGCATCCCCGCCCTGGTGATCTCTTCGGTGCTGTTCGGGTTGGCGCACTCCCCGGTGCCGGGGGCCAGCTCCTTCACGGAAGCCTGCTACGGGGCCAACTTCGGGCTGCTGTACATGGTCCGTGCACGAGCGAGGCTTATTCCTCGTGATTTAGGCGATGCGCGTCTTAGTTGATGCAGATTTGCCGAATGCAGGCGTTTTGTGGAACGTCGTCTACAGTGTAGCCATGTTTTGCGCGAACATTTCATGGTTTTGCGCGTGCATTTCATGGTGTTGAAGCAGAGCCAGCTCTGCTAGGAATGCTAACCCGCGCCCGAGCTTCGATCTGTGGTGTGTTACAACTCATGGCCTATTGTTTGCTTCATTTCACTTTTTGTTGTTGTGAGGCTTGATTTCGCTTCAGATTTGCATGTTTTTTTTTTGTGGACAGCGTTCTTTGGGTTTGGTCGAATGTATTTTCTGTCATGAGTGTTGTATCTTGCGG